TTAAGTATCAGAGAAAAAGAAATTGAACATAGAATAGGCTGCACCAGAGGAAGTTTCAACCAATGCCGCAAACTACTGCAAAAACAAAACCTCAACCAAAAAGCTCAAGTCATGTTCTTAAGTAGCTTTTGTCAAACTGAGACTTTCATTTGGATGTACGCATGGTACCAAACCTGTTCAGAAATATCTAAAATGTCAGCTGTATACAATTGCTTCCTAAGAACAATGATGAAAAAAGGATTTGAGAGAGTAAAGTCAAAGGGCTTTGGCAAAGATCATCCTTCTTTGGACATCAAAAAGAACTGTATCAAAGAAAAGAAACTGCATAACTTGAAAACTGCCAACAGCAGCAACAAGAGAGAGAGAGAGAGAGATGCCGCTAACAGAGAGCACAGAGGTCTTAGGCATAGCACACAGATACTACAATGATTCTAGGCAAAAATGTTGATCCATATATAAATAATACCACCATTTTTTACAGGTACTATGCTGATAGTCCTCCATTTTTCTTACCTTCAAAAGGGACAGAGAAAAAACTACCCAATCAATCAATGGATGGCAAAACATTGACCTGGAGTGACAGTAAGAGGACAGACATTGCTTAGAGCTACAAAGTGTAGGAAGTTGTGGAGAGTCATTATCATTCACATCTCAAAGCATAGAAACAGTGACTAACCTATTTAATGAATTAGTGTAAATGGATGGCTGATCATAGACTGGGAGAGATAGTAAGGAAACAAATATTCTTTAGAACTATGAAGGATAGGAAGTTGTGGAGAGCTATTATCATCCATGGCACATAAAAAAAAATTTTAGTATAATAATAAAGTTTATTTTCCACTGGTGTCAGGAGTGTTTAAACCCAGAAATTCAATTTTTATTTTATTCTTTTTTCCAAAATTGTAAGATATATACATTGCTTTTCTATGAAATACTGTGTTTAGTTTAGGTTAGTAAATTCAAATAAATAAAAATTTTAAAAAATAAAAAAAAAAAAAAAAAAAACGTTGTTGAGAACAAATTACATTATTCTTAACAAAAAACACTTAAAATGGTTAAAAAAAAAAAAAAATAAAAATGGTTACAAGTGAACAATGTGGCTATACATGTCACAGAAATGAAGCACTTAGGTTACCTCACCTCCCTGTTAATTAATCCAAGACTTGGGTACTCCCAAACAGCTATTTAAATTTCTCAAACTCAAGTTCAACTATGAGAAAGGGCACAGTATTCAAGGTTGTAGTGGTTTGTATAGCAGGAAGCTGACCTGCTTCTATCAATGACATCATACCAAAACTAACCAATAGAGAACAAAAATCCCATTGGTTGCACTGTATGACCAAATGGCAACAACCAGGAAGTAGTTTAATGTCTCCCTCCACACAAAGAATTAAAGTAAAATAAAAAGAAAAGTGTCACAAGGTAAAAAACAACGTCATTTGTTAGGAAGGACTCAGTCAGTGCAGAGGAATACGTCACTCATTAAATACATGACAAATGTGTGCAAAGTGACTTGAATCTCTTTATCTCGTCAAAAATTAAAAGCATTGGCATGTTTGGCCCAAATAGTAGAAAATAAAGCTGAATACTAAAAGGTGCAAAAAAATAAAAAATTGCATTCTACATGTCAAACACCAAAGTTTTCAACCACAAATTTAACCTCAAAATGAAAGCTTACTTTGAAAACAAACTAAAAAGACCTTTTTCCTGTAAAACAGGGGTCACCAAACTAAAGCCCACAGGCTAGATCCGGCCCACTGCCACACAGTTCCACAAATATAATTATTTATATGAAATTATCAATAGATTGTACTTAAACATAGTATGTAGAAAAAATTAAAATAAATGTAAGTAAAAAATACCAAAATTTGTGCAATCTATTTTTGGCATCTGACAGTAATAAAAGTTTTAGGAAAATCAGTGAAATAAAAAATTTGTGATTTTTCATATACAAGTGCTTTTTGTGTAAATACCAGCAATAAAGTTTGTCAGAAAAGCAATGACAAGCCTGCTGCAGCAATCATGTTTTTAATTGCATTGCCATGTTTAAACCTGTTTGAAGAGTGCCGTATATAAAAAGGACTGATTTTAGCAAATTATGTCATATATTTTGTCTGAAATCATTATAAAATCTAAAGTATGTAAAGTCATGTAACAAGGTTAACTGATGAACATTTGAAAACAATTCTCTTGGTTGAATGCAGCAATTCCAAAGCAAATATTGATTATATCTTAAAACTTAAAAGGTAAACACCAGTTTCACAAATCTCATTAACCTTTTTTGCTGCTTAGTTTGTGAGATTCGGATATCTACACACTGGCCGTGATATAACTGTTTTATTGTTAATGTTGTCGTCTTTGATAAATTTTAATAAAATTTGTTTGTTGTCTTTATTTTTGTATATTCAGTGTATTGTATTGAAGAAAAAAAAAAAAAAAAAAAAAAAAATTGGTTATCCAGTCTGCACTTGTCATTCTCTTATCTGACCCTCTGTGAAAAAAGATTGGTGGCTCCTGCCCTAAAACTCCCCCCCACACACACACACCTACTTTGCTCTAACACTCTTCTACTGGGTTTCACTAGCATATTGGAAATTCATATAGGACTAAGATAAGTCTTAAATTGCTTTCTCTAAGTGGAAAGGTAACAGTTCTGAGTTTATTAAAAGAAAATTTTAAACAGAGGCTGCTAAGATTTATGGTGAAAATGGATCTTCAATACAACACATAACTTATAATACAAGCTTATAATAATTTGGATTTATTATTACTGGTTATTAATCTGTTATTGGGCTTAGTTTATAAACTGGGTTTCATCATAGGTATCTATAAGAAACAAAAAAACAATATAATAATAAATAACTAAAATAATAATAATAATTCCATCAAAAGTAATCTCTAAATATATGTCTGCTATATATTTAGAGATTCTTGATAAAATCCAAGGAAGAATCTGCAATGTTATTGGTCCTGAGCTGACATCTCAGCTTCAGTCGATTTCCCACCACCATAATGTAGCTTCCCTGTGCTTTTTCTATAAATACTTTCATGGTAATTGTTCTGATGAATTTTCCTCTATGGTGACTATTGGCAGCAAGGTTTCATCATTTTGCACTTGAAATTACTATGCTAACGTGAAGCTCTTCTGGCTTATTGCTTCCCAGACAAATTTGATTTTTAAAAATTTAAATGCAATGCCAACAGTTACTTCCTGTTTACTTTATTCCTATTCTTTTATTGTTCTCACTCCTCAATACTGATATTTTTTTTCTCATATTCTCTAACAATCCATAACCCCTTGCGTCTTAGTGGCCTGGGGTGAAATGACTGAAAAAAAAAAAAAAAAAAAAAAATGATAATGATCTTTGATCTTATAATGTTAAGCACTATACAATTACAGACAGCATGCCTTTAAAAAAATTATCTTTCACTAATACCCTGGTTGACAGTATTTGGGCAAAATAGAATCTGTGTGTATCAAAGAAAAAGTGGTCAAGTGGCTAGTTGATTTCATGCAATCTTCACACCATATGTGTTGAGTTTTGAGTCAAGCCAGAAGATTGCATTCAAGCATGAAACAGACAGTAGCCACTAAGTGTTGACCTCAGTGTCCACGTTTATATTTACATACATTATCTCCGATACCGAGTACTTTTACCCATAAAACATTGTATATATATTTTATACAAGAATGTAATCTTCATGACTTGAAGATTGAATTTTACCATGAAACAGACTGTCATCATTCAGTGTTGACCTCAGTATCCACTTTTATATTTACACACACTATCCTTGATATTGACCACTTTTAACCAGAAATATAACATACCTTTAAACTATATTTTAAAATATATATATATATATATATATATATATATATATATATATATATATATATATATTAAAAGAGGTAATCATACAAAGAATCAATTGGCAATATTAATGTAATTAATGGTGAATTCTCTTCGCTAACAGACTTAATATAAGCATTAACTTACTAACAATCCACTGAATGACACGATCCTTATGTATAAAATTGTTGTCAGATGGATCTGGTGTATTTTTAGAGCTGCAAGTACTTTTGAAAACTTCATGTTCTCATTGTCAGGCTGTAAATTTTTCATTAGAGATAAAACTCCAAGATGAAATAGATGTATAGTAGACGGAAAGATATTTTTTAAGAATGTGTTAAATAAATATATAAATACACCATACTTTGTAGGAGAAACCACTATTTGATCCAGCATGTTTTCCAACTCGGCTATGAAACGAAGCAGATATGGGCTTTTGAGAAAATAATCCAAGTGGAATTAATGTGAAGAAACTAATCACTTCACTGTTCAGGGCTGTTGGCGGCTTCTGTAAAAAGCCAAAAACAGCCCTGAAGAATGAAAGCATTACTACAATGTGCTCACAAAACTCCAAAGTTGGCATGACAACAATGAAACAACACCACTCAGTTAAGGGAAAAAGCTTCTTCACATTAATTCTAATAATGCTATATCCTTAGCTTTTGATATTGAGCACTTTATGACAAAAAGCCTACAACACATTTCCACTAATAAACTATGGAAAATAAACCACCAATTTTGACCCCTAAAAACTTTTACAATTTGATACTATTATATATAAAGAAAGAGATAAGTTTAGTATTATCCATGATTTCAGACATCCACTTGTAGTTTTGGAATGTATTCCCCTCAAATAAGTGAACTGAAGTCTTGGTAGCTTTGATTAGTGTGAGTTAAAGTCAAATGGATATTTGGTGGTTATATTACAAACATCAGTTTTCCAAGTAGAGAAGAAGAGCAGCCAGTTTACTTGCCTTGAAAATCAACATTTGAAATCCTGACTGATGTAGACTCAAAAGAATAAAAAAAAAAAAACTGGTGCCAGTGTGAATTAGCAGAAAGCAAGCTTCCAAGGATCTAAGAGATCTTTAACAGTTTGTACTACATAATAGATATTTAGAGGAAAATAACCTTCAGATATATAAATACCTGCAGGAGTTACATGTTCATCAGGGAAGAGAGGTGGAGGGGAGAGAGAAAGAAAGGAAGGAGAAAAGGAAGGAAGGAGAAAAGAAGAAGGAAAAAGGAAGGAAGAGAAAGAGAGAGGAAGAGGTAGATAGAAGGGGAAATGAAGAGGGAAAGAGGGGGACATAGGCAAAAGGAGGGGGAGAGGCAAAGAGTGGGGAGGAGAGAGAGAGAGAAAAACTTCCTTTACTCCCAACGGATATATTGAATATATTTTCTTGAACTGAGAAAATCTTACAGCGAAGAAATGGAACTGTGCCATTGTCAATTCTTACCAAGCTATGATCAGATGTTTAGATATATTCTTGTCAGCATCCCCGAAAGCAAGCGTTATTTAAAACACATTATCTGTAGAATCTTGTTTTTGCCTTCATTTCATGTATCTGCATTAAAAGACATGGCATACTAGTTTATTCTTTGTAAAAATTTTGACTCTATACTAACAGGAATGCTACCACTCAGGAAGTTAGTCACAGACCATTATTATATAAAGAATTTAGTTAGAATTTAGGTTAAAAATTACTCCTTGCATTCTGTTCTTTATAATACTGATGAAAGTCAAAAGACTTCAAGATGTCTGATACTTGGAAGTGAAGCAGATCAAATTTACTGGAGCTAAATTTGGCAAAGAGGAATAATCAATTGAACTTTAAATAAGTTTCAGAGTTATTTAATTTATTTAGAGATTTTGTAGAGTTGTCTTTTCTTTAAATAAATCTAAGATTTCATCAGTTTTGTTTTACTCATTGATGTAAGTATATGCTAAGCTTAGCTTATGACTGAGTAGTGAGTTCGATCCTCATTGGGTGCCCAATATTTTCACCCTTGTGCCACATCTGAGCTACACTTGGAAAATCACTATGCTAAGCTTAGCTTATGAGACAAGACTAGACAAGACTACAAAGCAGAATGCAGAGCAAAAAAAAAAAAGAACAAAAGAAAATAAGATACATTACAAAAAAAAAAAAAGAAAAAAAAAGAAGAAGAAAAAAGAAGAAAAGAAGAAAAGAAAAGAAGAAAGAAGAAGAAGAAGAAGAAGAAGAAGAAGAAAAGAAGAAGAAAAGAAAAAAGAAGAAGAAAAGAAAAGAAAAGAAGAAGAAGAAGAAAGAAAAAAGAAGAAGAAGAAAAGAAGAAGAAGAAGAAGAAGAAAAAAGAAGAAAAAAGAAAAGAAGAAGAAGAAGAAGAAGAAGAAAAGAAGAAGAAAGAAGAAAAGAAGAAAAGAAGAAAAGAAAAGAAGAAGAAGAAAAGAGAAGAAGAAAAAAGAAGAAGAAAAAAAAAAAAAAAAGAAAGAAAAAAAAAAGAAAAAAAAAGAAAAAAAGAAAAAAAAGAAAAAAAAAAAAAAAAAAAGAAAAAAAAAGAAGAAGAAAAGAAAAAAAAGAAAAAAAAAAAAGAAGAAAAAAGAAAAAAAAAGAAAAAAAAGAAGAAAAAAGAAGAAGAAAAAAAGGAAGAAAAAAAAGAAGAAAAAAAAGAAGAAAAAAAAAAGAAGAAATAAGAAGAAAAAAAGATGATCATTAATTAAGCCTTCCTTTACCCACAACACTTTTACCACCAGTCAGGATAAAGAGATGTCCCATCAGAGAGGGGCACTGTGCCTTGAAAGACAATTGGGCCTCAAACTCACACCTGACCTCAAGTGGAACAGGTACATACGATCCATTGTTAAGGATGCAGGTGAAATAGTTGATTTCCTGTACTGCTCTAGTAATTCCCTGATGCCTCCTGCTATCCTTTAACTTTACAAGAGCCTGATTAGTCCAAAAATGGAGTACTGTTGTCATATTTAGGTAGAAGCTGTCTAAACCTCACTCTCCAGCCTTGATAGAGTCCAAAAGTGTCTCAGTCCTTGTGAGTAACAAATTATTCTCTGCCCTCCAACCTCTCTCCCACAGGCAGGATGTGGCAAGCCTCTTAACCAATTCAAACAAATACAAACCATGCCACTTATATAGCAGTAAATTACCTACATTCCATCAGTATTCCATTGGTGAGATGTAAGTCCTACTATAACAGCTTCTTTCTGCAAACCACTGCTTTGTGAAACTGACTTCCAAGAAGATGCTTTCTCCAAACACTACAATCTTAATCTGTTCAAGTCTAGAGTTAACTGTTATCTTCCCCTCCTATCTGTATAAATTGACCCTTAATGTAATCCTCTACCTCAAGTGGCCCCTGAGCCTTATAAAGGGAAAATCTTACTGTTTTTAAAAAAAAAAAAAAAAAAAAAAAAAAAAAGGCAAAATCAAGAAATTGATTTTTTTTTTTTAAGTAATCATTTTAGAAGAGCAGTTCTGTTCATAATATAAATACAGTGTCAAATCGATCCCTGAATTAAAAACAAAGTATAGATAACTCTGTAAATGTCAAGTTTGAAACTGTGTTTACATCATTGATTATTGTGTACTGAAATGGGGAGGACATCAGTACTATGCAGTTATCAGTGATGTAAGCACAGTTTCAAAATTGACATTTGTAAATAAAAAAGTAAAGATAACTCTATAAGGAGTCACAGATTTGACACTGTAGTTATATTATGAACAGGACCCCCCACCACCATCTTTTAACATGATAAAAAAAAAAATATCAATATTTTTTGATGGTTTGTTTTGGTTTTGTTTTGTGGCATATCATCCTCAATGGGTTATTTAATGCCAACAAGATTTTTATTGTTTTGACCCCAGTTTGTGGTGTGGGTTAACTATTTGCCTATAGCTGGGACCCTGACAGGTGCTAACACCCTGGGAATACCAGCAATTAATAGGTGGTTCCATGTTCCTCAAAGCCTCCTGATCAGAGGCCTTGCTGTCAGATGTAGTTTATCGTCTTACCCAGGACATGGATGTAGTTTATCATCATGCGCAGGACATTTTTTTTTTTGATTCTGATGAATGTTGTGAGTAGAAGGTGAAAGGTATGCCGATCTATAAAAGTCATACCCCCACCCCAAAGTTTCACACCTTTTTACTATTATTATCATCAGCAGACCAGTTAAGTTGTACCCACCATACAACTAATTTTTTTTTTTTTTTTTTAATGAAAAGCTATTCAAGCATACAAAATGGATTCATAACAAAATTATATAAAATGGAGAAAATTAAAATAAATTGAATTAAAAATAATAACATGTATATTTTTTCTACTTGGAAATGTGAATGGCCTAACAGTTTGAAAAATTGAATTAGCAAGCAGGGTTCAAATTCTAGAGTAGACAATGCATTCACTTTACAGTTGCATCTACATGCTATAAATGCATGAATATATATCTTTTCTCCTCCTTGCTATTGATTAAATAGTAAGATAAGTATATAAGGTGTATAGGGCTACATTTTTTAACATACTATGAAAGTTGGTTCAGTGTATCATGCTAGACAATTTTTCTGGCCAAAAGCTATTTTACATATTTATAAGTCTACACAATTTACCCATGCATTGAATATTGCTACCATATCTGTCTTGGTGCTTTTACTATGTATTTAAAGATCCTTGTTAAAATACAAAGAGTCTGCAATATTATAGGTCCTGATCTAGCATCTTGGCTTTAATCACTTTCCCACCACCATAATGTAGCTTCCCTGTGCCTTTTCTATAAATATTTTCATGGCAATTGTTCTGATTAGCTTTCCTCTTTGGCACCTAGACTTTATGAATTTAAGCACAGTACTAGATTGGCAGCTAGGTCTCATCATTTTACAGTTGAAATAGCTAGATGCAACTGTAAGTTCTATACTAACATTTTCTTTTCTCACACTTCTTGTGTCTGTAAATCTCTTCTGGCTTCTTGCTTTTTAGTCAACTTTGATCTTCAAAAATTTAAATGCAATGTCAATCATTATCGTGTTTTAATTCCAGTTTTTTTATTGGTCTATCTCCTTAATAATGTTTTTATTTTTCTCACATTCTTTCAAACTCAGTAACCCCCTGCACTTTAGTGACTTTATTGGTTTGCTTGGGGTGAAATGATGAGAAAAAAAAAAAGACAGTTAATCATTGTTACTATCATTTTCATAGCAAGTAGATTTTTGTGTGATAGAGTTTCAAGCCCCATGTTTTGTGTTCAGAGTTGTCCATCTCCAAGATTAGTTGGCAACCAATGTTGAATAGCCCAGTCTATATAACCCATTGCTGAGGGAAGAAGGGATGGATTACACTTTTCTCCAAAGGTATTTGCACAAATATATCACACACATAAAAAAAAAACAAAAAAAAAAACATATGTATACATGCATCTTAGGTTTTTATATATCTTAATATTGACTGTGTCTCTTCATATATTAAATGTATAGTGAAAGTTTTGCCATCTACTTACTTGCTATTTATGCTTTTAGTATTTGGTCTTTCACTAGTCAAATCAGGCTGAACACCTTGGTTCTCAGTTGATCAACAAGGTTAAGCAGCATCAAGATTATTTAAGAACACTGGGTACTACAAGCAATCCGAGATAAGTTGGATCAGTTTGATAAGGTCAAAATGGCAGATGATATCCAAAACAACCTTCAGTTAACTAGGCCAAAAAATGGCTTGTTAATTTTAATGCTTCCAAACCTAAACTGCCCTCTATTAATCATCTAAGAGAACCCTCTCTGACCACCAGGAGAGTGACTCACTGCACCTTCTTGAGCTAACGTTCTCAGATGACATGAACAAAAGAGATTATATTGAATCAATTGCTAGGTCACTTGCCAGCAAAGTTGGTTTACTGTATTGTGCTAGACTATTTTTCTCTCCATAATCTATCTTACATATCTATAAGCCTACCATTCACCAATGCTTAGAATATTGCTGCCACATATGGTCCAGTGCTCCTGCTATCTATCTAGAGATCCTTGATAAAATCCAAAGAAGAATCAGCAATATTATTGGTCCTGATCTGGTGTCTCAGCTTCAGACACTCTCCCACCGCTGTAAGGTTACGTTCCTTTACCTTTTCTATAAACTTTCATAGTAATTGTTTAGATGAGCTCTTCACTATGGTGCCTAGACTCTTTGAATTTATGCATAGTATTAGACTGGCAATGAGGTCTCGCCAATTTATAGTTGAGTTGGCTAGATGTAAATGTAAATTCTATTCTAACAGTTTCTTTTCTTGCACTTTCATTTTGTAGAACTCTTCCAGCTTATGACATTCCAGTAAAGTTTGATCTTCAAAAATTTAAATGCAATGTCAATCTTTATCCACTGTCCTCCTGATTACTCTTTCTGGTCTCACTCCTTAGTAATGTTCCTGTTTCTAAATCTTCCACACCCAGTAACCCCTTGTGTCTCACTGGCTTTACTGCTTTGCTTTTGGAGGGGGTGAACTAAAAAAAAAGTTTCAGCTTGAAATAACCCTCAAAGGGTTGATAAGCTGTAAAAATCAAATCAATCAATTTTCGCTATAGTAATGGGCCTAAAGGCACAGGATAGGTGCCTAATTCCACAATTGGATCATCTCTGGAGAGATGCCAAGTTTTGCTGTCTCAATAGCTTAACTATAGAATCCAGATATCTGTAGGTGCAGAATCCTGTGTGCAAATAAGCCTGTTTACAATGCCCCATAATTGCCAGACTGAGTTCATGTCAAGTATATAAGGTCACCACACAATTTGTTGGATCTCCAGAATGCTCTTGAAATCAATTCTCACCAACTTGAACACAATGACTGGATTTTCCTGCATGGTATAACTCATCATTGTTGGATTATACGAGTCCATGAATTGGTGCAAATGGTCATTAAGCAGTGCAGTGTTCACCAGTCAATGACATGTTTTAGGTGTACCAGCAGACCAAACCCATGCCACACCTTTATGGAACCACCACCAGTGACTTGGCAACTGAGGATCCATGGCCTCATGGAGCAAGTGCCATGCCCAAACTGTACCATCAACCTGGAATAACTAAAATCATGACTCATATCTACACCATACATTGCTAATTGGGCTCTGGAGGACCAGCAATGTGTCAAGCCAAGATGAGTTTATGTGTTGGATATCAACTTGGAGGGGTTTTTGCTCTTATACCTATTGGATTGGTTAATTCATAGACCATAAAAACAATTCAATCAACCTTTTATAGGTTTTTAAAGCCAGAAAATATATATTGGGTGGGGTAATAATGATTAATTGGTTTTTTAAGCCCTACTAATTAACCCATAGATGTGGGGAAAAGCAGTGGCTTCATACCTTTCCCAATGGCATTTGCACGTAAGTGAATATAATGAACCTAAATGGAATTAAAACACTGCTCTCTGATTTCAAGTTGTTATACATTAAACCATTCACACACCCAAGCTTACAGCACTTGGTATTCCCAAGCAGTCACCCATCTAGGTACTGACTAGACACAACATTGCTTAACTTTGGTGATCTTCCCATAGAAACTAATCATCACTGAAACAATCTAATGGACACACATCTGGTACTTAAATGTGGAAGTCATTTGAGCCAATGTTGCTTATTTGTTAGCACAGACAATTCTAGCAAGATGTCTCTTATGATCATTAAGGACCTGTGATCAGTCACCACATTGGGTAGTAATAT